TGGCTCATATTTAAAAAGATATTTATGTCAATATTATCTGGAACTATTTTTAACTATCAAAAGTATATGAACTCATAAAATATGTGCTAAATTATGCTGAACATCTAAAGTACATTTTAAGAATTTAAATGTTAGTTATATATATATATAAGGATTACTACTATGATTGCTGATAATTAATTAATAGCGATTAATTAATACATGTTTCTCTAAAAGAAGAGGCTAGTTAGACGGCAATATATGCTGTGAAAATTGAGGGTGCATTAGGCAGTGGACTATATCACACCTAGGTAAGAATTAGTAACCAGTGTAACAAGAATTTATTAAACATAAAAAAGGTTCAAAAATCCATAAACATTCCAAATATTTATGAAAATCAAACTAATATATATAAGAGTACAGTTTATTTAGAAAAGAATCGTAAAAACGTAAATATTTTCGCATGGGAGAGTTAGTCCAATGTGACAATGATAGATGTTCTTGTACAATATCGATGATAAGGATCTAGTTAGAATAGTAAAGAAAAGCATTTATTTACATCGAAATAATCGTTTTATTTCTATAATTCAGGGTACCAGATCAACAGATTTCCAGTAGATAATTTATTGGAATTACCTGATTTGGAACTGGAATTCAAAATGATAACTAAAACTGGAATTATCGGTTAATGTTAAAAGAAATTTATTTAACAATTAATTCATTCTAATTACTGGATTTGGAATTAAAATAACATGAAACTTAAAACTGGAATTAAAATTGAATTACCTGATTGGGATTGAAATTGGAATTACTTGATTGGAATTAGATGAAACCAATGTCAGTCTAAAATTTAATATTTAGCTGTCAACACGTCTGAATTGCGAAGTATAACTAATAGAAATTTCTAGCCTTTAGACTTCAGCTAGAAAATTCATCAGTTTGGGATCACTGTTTTATATTTTACTGCATAAATGTTGTTATCTAAATACTAATTTTACTGCCCATGTTTGGATTAGCAACTAGTTTGAAGAATGCTATATTGTCTGTTATTATTAAAATCTCCAGAAAGTTTCTAATAGTATTGTTGCGTGCGTACGGGTTCGTTACGAAATGAATGCACAAGTCCGATAAAAAAAAATGAAGAAAATTTATTATTATCACAACAAATATGATTAAATGTCCTCAAATAATCGTGCAGTATACAATATATCACAGGTTATCTTCTAACTACTAAAGTTCATATCACTTAATTCAAAAACAGCTAAAGAAAATCGCGAATTCGCTACAGTCAACAAAGCAGTTTTAGACAAACAACAAACTAAGTAACTAAATCGAACGAGAGGTTTCCTCCTTTATAGATTTAAATCAAAAGAGATATTTTAAATGTTACATGACTCGCTCTTGTATTTTCAATTTCCGGCTTAGCTTTCTTTAATATTCGTCCGCGCTGAGCGCGGGAAATAAAACCATTTAATTTATAATTGAACTAACATTAGCTTTTTAAATACCAAATTCGTAACAGTATTTTTGCACAGTTTCTCTGATATTTGTTGTAAATAGAATAGACATTCTGAATATTTTGAGGTATGAACTAAACAAAAGCATTAACTACCCAAGTGCAAACTTTCGATTTGATCCATCAGCTATTCTTTGCGGTCAACGAATAATAAATACCACACAGTCTTTTAGTTTTATACATTTTTGGAATGAAGGTATTACGGAAGTTTCCATCGGTTGATGTTAAAGTAAAAATTTTTTCAATGCATATGGTGTCGATGATTGAAGATCATTAATTCACACACACACATGCACGCAAACTCATGTTCACCTCTCTCTCACAAGCAAGAAGAAAGAGGAATGTATATTATTAACAGAATTTTCAATACAGCAAATGAAGCTTTCTTGCTACGCATTAAATTAAAACGCGAAACTTAAATCTATGCGTTGAACATCTTGGACACTACCTATTTCTGTTTCTTTCTAAATTTGAAAAATTCTAATATTTTCCGCTATTGTTTTCCCACAGCGCCGGTCTTCGATTCGCAAGAGGAAGTGGTGCAGCCTTCAGGAGTCGTTCCTTGGCGTCTACAAATCGACTTCCGGAAGAGAGGACCCGACTGCATGAGGAAGTGCATTACCCAGGGTGTTCTGCACCCGGTCCAATGTCATTCCCTTTGCTGAAGATCCCTCTTTCTTTCTAGGTCGGCGGAACATTCCAAAGCGCGATGTAAGATCCATTTTATTCTTGTGACGTTTTTTTATATCGCTGTCTTCCCTTTTCTTTTGATTTTTCAGTATTTAATTCCCAATTCCATAGAAATATTGATTTATTCAGACCTATTCTGGGAAGGGATGACAACAGTCCAGTTCTTGGAAAGGATGCAAAAAGTCCGAAAGTCATTACAACTGAATGGTTTCAATATAACGGGTGGCCATAATTAAACTGACAGTGCTCATAGTGTTCTGTAGAGCGATCTATTTGCGAGAATGACGCCACATTTTGTAGGAAGATTAAACAAGACGGGGGACGAAGGATTCCGGGAAAAAAAAAAATTAGTTCCAAAAGTCACCGCCAGGGGAATATTTGGCGCTGTGTAATAGAAAATAGAGTGTTAACAAATGCAAATTAATACGGGATAAAATTACCTTTTATTATGTACATTTTCTGATTTAGTTCAAGTGCAATATGGCAACACTTTTAAAAAAGCGTAACATCTACATAAACACCGATAGTTTCGTGATCGGCAATATCACGTACGCAGAAGAGGCAAGCAGAAGAAGAAGTTCTTTATTCAAATTTTCACGTTACATCCATTCGCAAGTGCCAACTTCTTGGGTTTTAAAAGGCAATATGTTATGTTTCGAATCAATCGGATTGAAAGTTTATGTGCAATATCTCCTTCTTTAGTCGAGCGTGCGTTACTGGTCAAATTCTTTTACCTCAACCAGTGCAACGCGTCAGCCGCTCTTCGTGCTTTTAGTACGCACAAAAAAATGCGTAACGGTCCTGTGTCAGTTAATGGGCTAAAAGCAATGGTTACGACGTTTGAGAAAACAGGTTCTCTGAAGGTTCCGTCAAGCAGAGGACGAAAACCTGTACCACAGGATACAATCGAAGCAGTTGCCACGGCGATTGTCGACAGAGGACCAGACAATATTGCTGCCACCTCTAGCGCTCTTGGAGTAGCTCGGAATATGGATATGCCTTACAATACGGTATGGAAAATCTTACGAAAGATTATCAACTTCTATCCGTACAAGATCAGCCGTGTACAGGAGTTACTGTACCCCGACCATGATAAGCAATTGACTTTTGCTCTCACCTTTTTTGCCAGAATGGAGATGGATGATGCTTGGCCGTGGAAAATCTTATGGGGAGACGAGGCCCTTTTACCTGAATGGAACTGTGAATACCCAGAACTGCCGAATTTGGGATGACAAACCACCACATGCAGTCACAGCAATTCCCTTACATTCACCAAAGGTAACTGTTTGGTGTGGGTTCACAGCGGAATTTATCGTAGGTCCATTCTTCTATGAGAACATTACCCCGACAGGACCCGGAAACCTGTTCTGTTACCGGAGAGAAATATCGCCACATGTTGAACAGCTTTGTCATTCCGGCACTTCAGCAAAGACAATGGCTAGGGAAATCATTTTCATGCAAGATAGAGCCCCTCCACACGTTGCTGTAAGGGTACAACAGATGCTACGACAGAAACTCATAACAGAAAGAGTCATTAGCCGCTACTTTCCAACTGCATAGCCACCTCGGTCGCCTAATCTTACCCCATGCGACTTCTGGCTATGGGGTTACCTTAAGTCCAAGGTCTATCAAGGAGTGGTCCAGGACCTGGCTACGTTGAAGGATAAAATATCACGGACTGTACGGGAGATTCCTGCAGACATGTTACTTTCTGCTGTTGTGCATACAGTGCACAGACTGCAATATGTGGTCCACAACAACGGCAGCCACATTGAACCTCATTTGAATGCAAAATAAAAGGTAATTTCCGTATTGATTTGCATTTGCGTCAACCATTTGAAACTCTCCAATGGAAACTACTATGCTGCCAACTCTTGCCAACACATGGCGCAACCACCACAAACTATCATGAAATTTATATAGTTATGACGACAGCTTTTTTGCAAGGAAAGTAAATGCGCAAGCGTAATGGCTTATAAAATATTTTTCCAAGCTCTGGTTTTGTGTACGGAAGCTGAGAGCTTCATAAATTCAAAAACCGTAGGCTTGAATTTAAAAGGTTGATTTAAAAAATTGTAAAACTAAAGACTTCATACATTCAAAGAAAGAAGAAAAAATCTATTTTTCTGTGGGTATTAAAACTGCCTATTGAAATGACGTATTCTCGCGTTTACAAAATATTTTCATTCATGGTAAACATGTAGTCCGAGATGTTTGGAATAAAGTATAAAATACAATTTTCATTTCGCTCATTTAAGATTATGAAAATACTAACTCGCAGCAGTTTTGGAAACTATAGATCCATTTCATGACCGCAGCACGGTGGGGAAAAAAGCTCAATTAAATGGCAGAATTAATGACAAAAAGAAGTTTTTGATAGCACAAATTTTTGAAAACGATCATTGAAAGAATAAAAGAAAATCAAATGATTTTGCACAAAAATGCTAAGGAAGTTCTAAAATTTTAAAGTAACTATTTCTTTCATTTATAAATATTTTAATGACTTTTTCCTAGCAACTAGTGTGTTAATATAATTCGGTTTTCATAAAAAATAGTCTTCAACAATTTAAAAATGTATTTAAAAAATTTTAAATTTTACGCTTGTATAAATTTTTATATAAATCATTAAAAACATCCATTCCCAGATAAAAGAAATTTGTAATCTTTCGTATCCTCAAAATATAAATTGTGATTTTTTTTCGAGATTTGTGCTCCTAGAACATATGTTTGGTGTTAAAAATATTTTTATTAATCACATTAATGCTTCAAATATTCATAAAACTTACCTACCTGCTGGAAATATTTTTAATTAAACGTATTTTAATTATTTTAGCTTGATACATAATTATAAAAGAAAAATAAGGGTTTTAATTATTAAAGAACAGTGTTTATTGCTTTAAATCTTTTCTTTAAAAGTTTCTTTAAATCTTTAAATATTTCATCCTGTTAAAACGTTAGTGACAGATTAAATCTAAATAATGAACTAAATTCGTTATGCTTTGATGAACAGCAGCATCATTAGTAATTCCTAAAGCAGCGCATAAAACAAATATCTTAACGGTTCTGTCAAGAAAATCACTTGCCAAGTCACGTGTACGCTAATTGGCACGATACAAAAACTTAATACGACAGACTAAGAAATTTACAAGATTCCGGTAAGATGTCTCTTAGCAACGTGCAAATTAGTATTTTCAGTTTATTTAAAATTCAAAACGCGATTTTGTAAACGCGATAATACGTCTTTTTAATAGGTAGTTTTAATACCTATTTTAAATAAACTGAAAAACCTTGGATTCACATCTGATTTTCTCGCGGATTGACATTATTATTGTTGACAAAAGTATACGAATTTCAGTTTTTTATTGTGATAAACTTATTCTGAGTTACAAATAAAGTTTCTACGTACAATTACATTATAATTATCAAAACCCTCGAGCGATCGAAGACATAAAAACAAATTTCTATGCACTCTATATGCTTTACCACCCTCCCAAATTTAGGATGCTGAGGATACTTACCTAAACTGGATTAGTTTATTGAATTACTGCAAAAGCATTTAGAAACTAATCATCTTCTATACGGAGGTTTCCGAATAGAATATTTTAAAGTAAACTGCTTCATATGTTGTACACGAGAAAAATCACTAAATTCTCATAAACTGGATTAGTTTATTAAATTACTGCAAAAGCATTTAGAAACTAATCATCTTCTATACGGAGGTTTCCTAATAGAATATTTTAAAGTAAACTGCTTCATATGTTGTACACGAGAAAAATCACTAAATTCTCATATAAGTTAGCACCGAAAGACAAAATTCTAATGTTCCATGATTAGTATGTAATGAAATCTGATCAGCTTCAACTACATTTGAATAAATACTAAATTAAGATCAGTAATTCTTTAAATAGTAGTATTATTCCTGTAACTTGAATATAGAACCGTAAATCATTTGTTAACTTTAGAATGTAGCACATTTTTGTTATACTTTCCTTTAGCATGGCCAACAGTCGAAAATTAGCATTATACAAAGAAACAAAAGTGTTTGATATTTTTAATGAGTTCAGGTATTGTTATTTCATAAAACAATTTAATATTTCTCATTAGACATGCCACGATTTAAAGGCCTTTTTATTTAAATCCATCAGTTTAAAAAGCAGTAAACTGTATTCTTAGGAACTTCGTTTATTGCTTTTAAATCCCTTAATTAATTAATCATCAAAAGACAGATTAAATTTGAAAATTAAAACACCTTACGCTTTACTGAATGGCAATAGGGTGACACTTAGAAGATGAAAGCATTTTGTTTCGGGCAGTGGCAACACATTGCTTTCGAAGCCGAGTTTGTTGAATAAGACTGAAAGATAAATTTATTATATTTTTCTGATTGGCAAACATCTGGAGCGCTAAAGATAAATGTGTTTAATTTAGAACGATGTTGCCACTGCTTGATTTAAACTACAGAGGTTTTTATCAAAAATTCATTAAATTCGTACAAAATGTGAAATAAATAAAAAGCAAATTCTTATTCAGAATTGGGTGGCTCTAAGTAATATCATTATTGATGATGTAAGGAACATACCTACATACATATTTTTATTATGTAATAATAGAGAAAAGCTGCGAATTCGAAACAAAATTCTAGTTTTGAACTAAAAAGTTAAACATAAATGACACACTGAAATAACTTGCAAAATGTAATGAAAATTCCTTCTGAAAATGTTTCCGTTTATGTTCTCTTGCATCTCCAATGAAATCTGATCATTTTGTATATTATTTTTATCTGAAATATGTACGGTTTCCCCAAAAGAAGTTTGCAGCTTCATATCTTATACATAAAAGAGCCTATGGCAAATAATACTTAACTTATTTTTAGAACACACGGCAAGTATCAATTTCTTTTCTCTGTAAATAGTTTGTCATCTTGATGCCTCGACGAATATATTGGTTTCATAGCGTAAGTGCTGTAATTCCATTCTTTATGAAAGTGGAATATACGCGTCGAAGTTTAAAGATACATTTAGCTCGTTAATGCATTATTAAATCATGCCACAATAATAAGTTTAATCATAGAATACGTCCTTTCTTTCAGAGAAACAACTGTAAAGTACTCTCTTTCTCCTTACCGTATAGCTTTTCAGTGTAGGTGAAATGTCAGTGAACTTTGCAGGTATACGTTGAAAAGATAAATATATATGCAATACCTGTATCATTTAGTTTTTCCAAGTAATGCAATGGTACGTTTTTAAGTACGATTTATTGCCTTGTCTCGATGAAGATTTATTTTTTTGATAATTATTGGTGTAAAGAAATGCAATTTTCAATTTTTTCTGCAAATACCAGACGCAAAACTTTCCATTGGTAATATGTTCGTTTGTTTAACAATTTTTCCACTCTTCTTATTTATTAATTTCTCACTGTAAGATAATCATGTGACAATCATAAACCAATCACTGAAACATTCTTTGCAATAATGGAACCAGATTTGTACATATTATCTCTTCATTTTCGATACTTTTCTTGTTACAGTCATTTAGGTAAATCCGAGCTTCATCAAGGGTCTCAATGTATTTTCATTTACCTCCTGGTAAATAATTTTCATACAGGGTCCTACAAATTGTTCTGTGTCGAGCCATGTACCTCGGTAAAAGTTGTTGAACATTAAGTCTTTTAGCTTTTCAAAGCTGTAAATCTTGGTTTATTATTTTAGTTATTGTTGTTTTAGATGTATATAAGGACTCTGCAACTGATTTCTGCATCGGCGGACTTTTTCTGGTTACCATTGATTCAACTTTAAAAACATTAGAAGCAATATAAACTGTTTCGAAAATTTGTTTGGAGTCTCCTTTCCATGTAAACGTAACAAATGACGGTTTTCCCCTTTCCGATTAATAATGTTGCTTATTTTTCCCCTTTCAGATTCCTGCAACCAAATTTTGTACATTTTTTCTCCATGTTTAAAAAAATTGACCTCTTCTTTTACATTCGTTCATATGTATAGTTACAATTCTTGCTAGACAGGATAAAGGGGCAAGGGTAAAAACACTGTTTATACACGATGGTGCATCCTATATCAATTCTAAATAATTTTGAAAACTATATCCATTGATAATATATCACTCATATAAACATGAACACCCTACAAAAACACTCCAGGTACACTGGCTTAAAACCTCCCTCTCGAACACCCTACAGAAATCATCTAAAGTTTATATAAATAAATATAAAATTTGAAATAATTTATATTTTTCTTTTTACTATACGTAACATTTTGGATAAACAATTGACGTTCTATTTTCTGTATAAAACAATCGTCTTCAAATCTTTTCCTTCGTTCTATATAAATAACATTACTTATATTACCGCCTCAAATTTCGAGATCCCTAAGCTGATTTTGCAATGAGAGATTAGAAAGTATTTTGCTTTGGAAAATGCCAAAACAGCCTCTTTATTTTTTACATAATATTGTTACGGATTTTGTATTTAGTTAGCTATTTTTAGTAGAATTATAATTAAAATTGTTTTATTTCCCCGCAATGCAGCGCATGACGAGTTTTAAGAGAAAGCTAAGTAAAAAGTAAAGTAAAAATACAAGAACACGTGCATTTAATAAATAGATATCTCGTAATTTATATTTAAATTGAGTAAATGTAACTGCGTGTTAGCTATAACTGTAATTCTACTCTTTTCCTTTCCAGAAAGCTCGAGAAAATAGAAATTACCAGAACCTGGCGTTTTGTTACATTTCTTGTGATAAGAACAAATTTTGTGTCGCCCAGACGGTATAAAGGTTAGAGGATACCAAAGGGCCCAGGTTCGAATCGCGGAGAAGGCATGGATGTAAAATTGTCTTTCCCTTCATAGGAGGTAACGGTGGCTGCCTGTTAGGTCCCTCCACAATAAACTGGTCACCACTTCTGGCCAATACCGTTATAGGCAAGTGCCCGCCATTTGTAAAAAAAGAGAGAGAGAGAACAAATTTTGTTGACCTATTATCGGACATGTGCATACGAACCCGTACGCACACAACAATATATTAAGAATTTATTAAATCTTTGATTGCAGCAAACAGTCACTTTATCTCTCTCTGTAAATGTTGAAAATTTATTTTTGTGTTCTGTTAATTTCATGTAACTGCTTGATCAAAATCCTTCAAAAAATTATTATCCAATAACCGCTGTATTTGTTGAACCAGCTTATAACATTTAATGCATAAACAAATATATTGGGTTTTTGTCGAATGGAAATACATTTTTGTTTCACATCGGTGAGTTTTCTGATTAAATTTGAATAATAAATTTTGTACGCTTTGCCGAGTGGCCACAGGAAGCTTTTCAGTATCTAAGCTTTTAATTAAATGCTCCTTAAATTCGCACAAAATATAGAATAAACGAAAAAAAATTCAAAATTCGGGCTTCGAGGTGCACATGTTCCGGTGGAGGATTGTATGTGTTGTAAATATAGTGGCTCTAAATGTAGCCACTTTTTCACAATAGGACAATCATACAAAAAGACAAACTCTGCGTTATTTAACAATAGAGATTTGATGAAAGACAGTACAGCCTACAACAAGCGAGTTGGCAGCGCAGAAACGAGAGAGAATCCAGCATGTGATGCGTCTAAAATACATTCCCGTTCAGAATGACATTTTTTATTCGTTAAGATAGAGTGTCAGTTTCTAAATTTGAAATTATTATTGGTTGTAGTATTATGTCAGTATCTTCATCATTAGCGTTATGTAAGAATCACGCGAATAGAATTGATTATGAAATAACGCAGTTTAGAGGCATTTATTATAAGCAATTACTTTTTTTAGAATGGAAAGTTGGAATTGATATATAACCAATTAAAAATGTACTTTTGAAGCACTATTGGAAATTAAAGTTATAATTTTAATATACGTATTTTTATCTTACATAATATACGTATATTTATATATGCTTTTTTCATCCTTAACGTCTGTCTTTTATTTCAGTTCTTAAAAACCATATACCAGCGATTGCTGTGGCATCTCTTTCAAACACGGATTCCGAGACCAGATTCCTATGACGTCACAGGACATCGAGGCTGCTTCAAAGATGCCATACGACTCTTGCAAATACCTCATAACCCTCCTCGGACGCACGCGTTTAAACATTAATTTTCCTTCATGAAAATGTGATCCCTGTCATTTATAGAAGTTTAAAACTTTGGAAAAATGACTTGCTCAGTGTCAAAATACCGATAAAAACCGGTCCATGTATCCAGTCTGTCACGGTAGCCTGTAAACTGCATATTTATTCTGTATGAAAAATTCTACAATTGTTCTAAAGCGTTAGGTGACTTCCTGTACAAAAAAACAAAAAAAAATTTAGATTATTAAACATTGTGATGTGTTCTTGTTCTGTTTATTGTCGTTGCTTTCTTCGTTGCAAAGAAATTTTAATATTATGTCATGATTTCACTTTGAATAAATAATAGAGTTAAACTGAATCACAGATAATCATTTCTGACAAAGTTGAATTTTAACACAGAGGGGGTAGGGGAAGAAAAGGAAAAAAATAATCTGAAAGGATTTAGATTTGTAAATAGGATTGATAGAGGTTCATTAAAGGATTTTTCAACGTCTTTATGCTCTCGCTCAGCATTGCTTGTTACCAGTCTGCTCTTGGATTCATTCCTGCGCCAACACAATTATTTTTCTCTTTTTAGCTTTATTATTTAACGTCGCTTACGGCCTTACGCCACACGAAATTCAAGAGCAAAATCATAAAATATTTAAAAGTAGCATACCTTTAAAGTTCTCGATAGACTATTAGAAGTTGCCATACATTTCTTTTTTTATATATATATTCGCTATATTATTTCTTTGAAAACTGGCCCCCCGAAGCGGCCATTCGCCTAAAGAAGTTATCATAAAAAAACGTATACAATGATTTTAACGAATCCATCTAGTACCATTTCATCAAAATATTTAATATTTCTAATCAGGTATCTCGTAACAGAAGGGTTTAGTTTGAAATTTAAATATCTTATGTTTCACTGAGCTGCAATACTCTGGTGCGTGAAGATAATATGTATTCTATTTGAGACAGTGATAACGCATTTCTTCCAGATTGCCGAATTTGTGGATTAAAGAATGAAAGATAAATATCATTTTGCAGAATTGCAAGCGTCTGGGGCACTGAAGATAAAAATGTTTTATTTCGAATAATGCTGTCATTTCTCTCTTTCAAATCACTCGGTTTGTTAACAAAAATTCATTAAATATGTACAAAATACGAAATTAACCAAAATAAATTCTATATTTGGGCTTCTGGTATCCATGCTCGATTGGAAGACAACGTGTATCAAAATTTCGGTGGCTCTTGGTGCATTCGTTTTTCCACAATGCGAGAAACATTCATACATACAGATTCTTTATTGTATGATTTCTTTGAAATAATACATCTGATTGACATTAGTGGCTAGAATTTGAACAGTTATTCGGACACAAAAGTAATATGAACAGAGCGTGAGCTTTGAAATTTCTGATGCTAGAAAAAACTGAATTTTTTAATAGTCAAGAATATTTATGCAAGAAGAGAAAGGATAATTGACTTTTGTCAGCTCATATGGCCTAAATTAGCTACTTAAGATTATGAAACATGGTATGAACTGCGGCTTTAAAAATTCGGAACTTTCTTAAATTCAAATAAAAAGTGTTTCTCCTCAAAAACATTACCTCATTAAAGAAATGCTTCATTTTTTTCCGAGTCAAAGACGAAGCGCATCATCTTTTTCGAGTTTAATAACTCGTTTCCCTGAAATGTACAGAAAAAGTTTCAATTTTAGGAAATTTATTTCTACTCACATCAAATAAATGAAATACCATTAATGTGTAATTGCTTAAAAATCGATTTAATTCTTAATGTGAATAAAGTGTACTTAATACTCTTAATGTGTGCTTAAATACGGGAAATAGAAACTTTTAGATGCTTGATATAATAATTATTTTGGATGCAAAATTGGTTACGCATATGCAGACACATAAATAGACATCTTTGTAAAAATAGTCGAAACATGTTGTGGGAACCCTAATTTGGGTTTATTCACTGAAAACTCACTACCGAACTTTTGAACACAGCTTCTGAACATCACCTTCATTATATATATATATGTGTGTGTGTGTGTGTGTGTGTGTAAGGACAGTGAGCTTGAGAAACACAATGGCCAAAAAAATGCAAGGATTAGAAGCACTGCATCGGGAAGAAAAAGCCTTCCCGCATTCAAATTTCCAAAGCGTTTGGAGAAAATGAAAGCAGCGTTCAAGAAGAAGAAACTATGTCGTATGCAAATTTCCAGCGCGTGCAGGGAAAATAAAAGCAGTGGTTGAGACGAAGAAAGTCTTCTTGTGTACAAATTTCCCATGCGTATGGGGAACAGCGAGCAAGTATTCATTTGTAGATATTGCAGAATTCGCAGGTGTTAATGTCGCAAAAAAGCATGTCAGATTGCAGGAACGAGGAATATGCGGATATGCAACTGATTTAGGTGTCAGCTGATGGCAAAAGACGCCGAGCACAAACATATACCAAAAGCAATATCTGAGAAGGCACTTTCCGCATACCACCTTCACGAAACATCGATCGGCGGCTGTGGAAGACGGAATCATTCCAAATAATGAGGCGTAATGCAGGGCAAGAACAAAGTATGCGCACATCTGAAACAGAAACCGAATATTGCAACGGTTTGCCATTTTCCCATCTACCGATATATGATCGGTTGCAGCTGAACTATGTATTTGGCATAAAATAGTGCGAAAGGTTCTGCGCACCTTATAAACATGCACCCCTTATAAGTGCAAAAGATTCAACTCCTAGATGATGCCGATTACCCCCTTCGAGTATAATTAGTACGCTGGATGTTTGATGCCACACAGAATGAATCACAATTTCCCGCCACTGTTTTATTCTCAAATAGACTAATTTAGGTAAGGAAGCGTGATCAAGATGTGCAATGAGTGCATGTAGTCGTCCGAATCCCCGCAGCTCTGTCTCATGAAAAGTACAACCGAAATTCCGTACTTAACACCTGAGCAGGGATTCTCGGAAATCATCCATCTGTTGGGACCGTACCTTCTGCCCGAATACTTCAATGGCACAAATTAACTTGCTTTCCTGCAGCGCCCCCTCCCGGATTTGGTGCAGGGAATACTGGCTACTGTGGGCTAGAACTTGTCGATCATACACCGGCACTTTTTGCGATTGTGGTGCGTAATCATTCCGATGCTATATATCTCGGGAGGTAGATTAGACGTGGCGGACCGGTTGGTTGGCCTACAACCTCCCCGGACCCCAATTCCTTGGATTTCTTCTTCTAGGGCAGTGATAGCGAACCTATGGTACGCGTGCCGCAGTCGGTACGCAAAGCCTCATCAGCCGGCACGCGACTAAAATATTGCTTCCTTAGTCAATAATCACAAGAAAATGATACTATAAAATTTAAATAAGAGTGTAATAATTAAATAATTCAAATAATAATGTAATAATTTAAATAAGTCTGTTCTTTAACGTTTTACTTACTTACTTATCGCATAATGCCACTGGCATAGGGCCTAAGCCTAGATATAAGATATTCATATATCGTCATGGAAATCATATACATATTTATTGACCCATTTTATGACGTTTCAGTTGTTTGGGTCAATCATATTAGTTGTGACATGGCAAAGAATAAGCCAAAGTTGCAGCAGCTAATGTTTGCTAAACGAATTCAAATTTATTGCAGACTACCGGTGAGTTGTAATACTTTCATTGTTGAATAGACTCCAGTTTTCAGATCTAAGCATTTTGAGGTAACTTATGAATAATTCTAATTTAATATCTTGAATGGAAGGTACAAATATAATGAAAAAACATGCAATTTGGTAATATAGCAAAACACGAAAGCCTAGTAGGAAAACCAAGCATATGCACTCAGCCAAAATAAACTCAATAAAGCTGAAAAGGATCATATGAAGTCTAAAGTTAGAAGTTTAGCAAAGAGATGTCCGGGTTAACAGTTACTCCTGTCCCCTTTTCATATTTGAATCTGCCGCCATAGATCGTTGATTCGTGAAAATCCAATTTCTTACTATTGGCTAATAATGTTACCTCCTTTTAGTATATGATAGATTTATATTTAATGCTTTATTTTTAAGTTTTTTTCTTTTCTATACCCCATGTCTTGGATCCTCACAAATGACTCCAGCAAAAAGGCAAAATTCGATATTGATAGTGGAAGATCATTTCAAGAGAGCTGGACAGAATCATTTAGTGTTATTGAACACAAGAGAAAAAAGTGTTGCGTGTCGCACATCTAGTGTCAGACGGCACTTTAACACCAACCAAAGATTGTTGCCGAGCTTGATGAAGCTGAACGTAAGGTGTTTATTGAAGGAAAATTGAGGAATTATAATTACCAGAAAGTTGGTTTTTGCAATTATCTTTCTAAAACAAACTATCTAACAAAGGCCAGTTTTCAAATTTTACTGTGCCTGGCAAAACATGGTAAGAAGTTTTGGGCACGCGGCCCCAAAAAGGTTCGGCACCACTGTTATAGGGCCACCTTGAAATGGGTTGTTTATCAAACGCTTGATGCTACACTGTTGAATCTGATGACACAGATCTTCATCGCTTCCTTTTCGAATGCAACTTCGAACAATTCTTATAAAAATACCTCGTCGACACCATTGTGACGTTGAACTGTGATGCACTGCTTTACGTCTAATAAACGTTTTCCTACTTATTTTTGGCCTTTTTTGTTCCACTCGAACTACTTTTGTGACTTTCCCTTCATAACTACTTTCGTGACTTTGCCTCACTAAATGCGTTTTGTCTATGGCAATTTTCCATCCTCTTAATGTCTACTATCATCCCTCTGTATTTGTCGATTGAATTCGGCAACACCCTGTATAGGTTGGCGGAAGATAACGAACTATACTTGCTTGGGTGAAAAACCTAAATAGAACAAAAATGATTTCAACTAATATATTTATAACACGAGTGAAATGATACTATTTGTAACACTAGCGGAATGATCCGAAAGTGACATGGTTTGCTCGAGTGACATTAAGATCATATTTTTATTTTAATGGTTAATTTAATTTGTTTTATATACATGATATTAACCAGATGGATTATTTAATTAACACAAAACTAAATAAAATGTGTCACAAAAGATGCTGGAAATGTCTACCATGCTTTTGAATAAACAAACCCACAGGATGACATATATTTCCTGCCCTCCCTTTGTCTGTTGCTGCCTACGATATCACATGTGGCTGTTCATAATGTTTCTCTATGTAAAGGGTTGGCAACTAAGTAATTGCGGATTTCACTCATAGATGGCTTCAGTTGAATTTTTAGGGTTGCAGACGT